TTCAATTCTTATTAAAATTGGCAAAATTTTATTCATTTTATTTCCTACACATAGTCCCACCAAATGAAATTTGTAAGTACCAAACAAAAAAAAAAGAAACCAAGGATTGAGATAGTGAGCAAAGGAGCAAGAGAGAGAGAGAAAAAAAAATAGCTTTAAATGAATGACCCATTTTAAATGAGCCAACTAGAATGGGGATGAATTTTTCAATTTTTTGTTTTGTTTTTCTTTTAAATTTTAGAATTTTTTTTCTTTTCTTTTTTTCTTTGAATAAAAAAGTAGTTAATGTTTCATTTTAATTTTGGTCTATTTTTTTCCTAAAAAAAAAAAAAAATATTTTACGCCCAGATGATGATGATGATGATGTTGACCAATACTAAAATGGGAATAGTAATTTTTGCGAATGAATGTTGTCCAGATAGAAAAAAAAACTTTGTCATTGTTTCAATGAAAACAAAAAATGATAATTTATTTTGAAAATTATTCTCTACAAAAAGGGAAAAAAATGACAAAGTCAATTATTGTTGATATATATTTTTAACAATATCCATAATCAATCAACCAAGTCACGTTCAATTTGTTGAACTGAAATTTTCATTTTTCTCACCGTGTTTTTGTTGGTTTCTGGTGTTTTTTTTCTAAATTTTTTTTTCGTTTGTCATAATTATCATGATCATTTTCATAACATTTTACATGTTTATATGATGCATGCAAAATGAAAGTATTACATAAACATGGAGAGAATAAATAAAAAAAAAAATTCATCACTCATCAAAGCTCGATTTAGAATTTTGAAAATCTTTTTTTTTTCCTTTTCACATTTTTCTACTTTTGCAATGATGATCGATGTTATCATCATCATCATCATCATCATCATCATCAGATTCGTTAAAAACATACTCACACACAGAAGACGGTGAAAGAAAACGAATTGTAATTTAAGTTTTCGGTTAGAAAAATTTTCATTCGTTCAAGTTGAAATAAAGTTTTTAAATTTCATCATCCTTGATGATGATGATGATGGGTTCTATATAATAATTTAGTCATTTGTTTGCCAGTTTTATTTTGGTTCATTCCTTACTTACTATAACATTTACTTGATGAATTCATTAATATATGAATACTTACAATCAACAAAAATCTTAATCTCATTACTTAGGCCACGTCCTTCAGAATTGAATACAATACAACGATAAAGGCCAGAATGAATTTGAGCTTGTGCATTGATTATACGTAATCGATTACGTTCAATTTCGATTCCTGTTGTTCATCAATGTATATGGATGATTGAAAGATTGATTGAAAACAAAAAGAAAAACAAAGATTTTTTATTTGTGATTTATGAATTTTTTATCAAATAAAATCCTTTATTTTTGATTTATGATTGTACTAACCAGATTTTTCTTGCCATATTTCATCATGATTATGTGACCAACGTATTACTGTAGCGTTTGGTTTTGCTCGAAACAAACAATCCATTGTTATATTTTGACCTTCCATTGTGTGTAGTTGATTGATCTGTCTATGATTTGTCGATGAATGACTTGATATTTGTTGATCGGCAATAATAATTTGGCTAATAATTTCATCATACAATTGATAATTATGTGATTCATCATTGTTTAATGATCGTTGCTGTTGTTGTTGTTGTTCAATTCGAGCCATTAATTTTAGTTTTTGGTGTATCTATATTCACAAAATAGTGGCGGAAAAAAAAAAAAAAGAAATTTTGAATTTTCGATCAATCAATGTGAATGAACTGGGTGATTTTGTAAATTCTTTCAAAAAAAAAAAGTTCAAATCAAATTCTGTGTTTGATTAGAAACAACAATCAAAGTTATAATTATATCCTAGACATTTTATTTCGACATCGTAATTTATGTGTGTGTGTGTGCGTGTGTGCGCGAGCGCGTGTATGACGTGTACATGTAAATGTTTCTAACTGAATGTAAACAAAAAAAAAAATTAAAGAATAATTTACCTGTCAATTATTCCTATTCATGAATTTTTTTTCAAAATAAAAATCTTAAACAAAAAGTTTTACAATGAAAATGAAAAAAAAAATTTATTATTGTTGTTATTATTTCGAATAACAAACAACAAACATTCATCAGAACGTAATGGACAGCGAAAAAAAAATAGAATAACAATGATAGATATCTATTACAATGGAATGGTTTTTTTTTCTAGCCAAAAAGTATCAAGTTTCAGTTCACTGATTTCATATTGTTATTGCAATATATTTTGTGCAGAAAAAAAAACCAAAAGCAAGAAAGAAACAAATAAAAAAAAACTATGCAATTAGCCAAATAATGGCACACATATCCACGTACATCATGTATAGTTACAACAAAAAAAATGATGATGATGATGATGTTGAAATTAAATGAATAAACTTTTTGATTTTTTTTTTTTTTGGTTCGTGGCAAATGATGTTTTCATTTTTTGCCAAAATCGTTTATTTTTAATTTTTCTTTTGTTGTTTGTTTGTTTATTCTGTTATTATATATAATTACTATATCATTAAAGATGTTATAATTACGAAAAATATTCATCATCATCATCATCAAAATAAACTCTAGCTGAAAAACAAAAATAAAATCGTTTATTCTGCATCTAATGTGGATGTTATTATTTAGGGAAAAAATAAAGCATGAATAAACAGTGGTTTGGTTTGTTGATGTTGTTTTTTTTTCAAAATAATTAAAAAAATTCAAATTCTTCTTTTCATCATATATATATATAAAAAAAATGAAATCAACTTACATTTAATATCCAATATGATTGAATCCCATGATAGTGGTCTATTATCATCATCATAGTCATCATTTTGGCCATCATCTTGTTTTGATGTTTCCAATTCGGTTACATTATAATAATCAATCAATGATTGTAAATGATCATTATCTGTAATGATTATCGGATTATATGATAAACATGTTAGCCGTTTTTGATCCTGTGTCCATTGTGGTTTGAAACGTAATACACTTTCAGTGTAATTCATTTCAAAATCATAATCACTATTAAAGAATAATAATAATTTGATGGCAAAGAAAAAAATGAAAAAAAAATTCGATAATCAATTAAATTATTCTTTTGATATATAAATCTCGATCATTCATCTAATATGATGGTTGCTTTCAAAAAAAAAGTAATCCAATCAATTATAAAACAAAACAAAAAAAAAATTGAAAAACTCATACCCGTCCACCCATCCACAACCATTTCCCAAGACAATCAACAATAACAACAACAATTTTTTTTTCATTGATTGAATACATTTCAGGCATTGTTAGCCAGGCGAAAAATAAAAAATAAAAACAAAACGATAGCCTTTTTTTCCTCTGCAGCTCTTATCTCATCTCACCGAAACAATTACAATTCGTTCAATTCGATAAAAAACATAAAGAATGAAAGTGAGTGAGTGAGTGAATTAGACAACTGCTAGAAAAATTGCTTAGAGTAGTAGAATTTTTTTTTTTTTAGTCACTCGGTAAGCAATTTTATGATATGATAGATAATGAGAGCAAAGAATAAAGAAGGAAATCAAATTATAAAACACACACACAGATACACAATTAACAATCCACCCACCCACAAACAGTCAATAAATTGTGAACCACACACACACCCACACACACATTTTTTTTAGGTGAATGTTATTGTCAAGTTCATCATTGTTTTCAATGATTTTGTCAAACTAAAATAGCTGAAAAAAAACAACAAAAATATAAATCTAGAAATTTTAACTTTGACATTTGATAACTAAACAAAAAGTAAAACATTTTTGACATAGACAATGAATGGATACTATTTTTAGCTTCATGATTCAATCTGGTTTTTTTTCCTGATTATTTTTTTTTGGTTTCATTATACACACACACACACACATGAAAAGAGGTAAACCACCGCTATCACGATAATCATAGATAGTTAACAAAAAAAAGAAAGAAAAACATTTTAAAAGTTTTTCAAAATGAAAAAAACAACTAGCTAATTTTTTATCATTTTATTTTTATTTTAGATTTTTTTTTTTTTTTTTTTGGTTATTCCAAATAAAAAGCAACAAAAATTTTGAACAAAACAAAAACGAAAACAATGACTGGAAAAAAAGAAAATGAAATAATAAATCGTATTCAATTTATTATTTATGAAATTGAAAATGTTCGCACAGTGTGCCCCATGGAGAAATTTGTGGGCTACAAATGTGATATTTTGGTTCTAAAAGCGCAGGCTTACAATCTTATTAGAATGTTCTAAAATCGATCGATTTTAGAACGAAAATGGAAGATCTTTAGCGCGCTTTAAGCAGAAAAATAGAACCATTGCAGCCCATCACGTGATCACAATTTACAGGGAACTTTTCACCTGAATGAAATAAATTTCCGAAATTATTCTCATATTCTGCATATCCGCTGCTTCATATTTTGATCATTTTATTTTATTTTAATAAAGTTTATTTATTATAAAAAAGAAAACCTCTTATACCATTATAAATAGAAGATAAAAAGAAAAAAATTATATACAGAAAATAATCAATCGGTTATAAATATTGGAAAACAAAATTTTTCATCTCCAGATAAAATTGAACCAAAATAAAATTTAGATCTCCACAAAATAATAAATGACCATAAATCGAGGAAAAGAAGTATCTAGTAGTTCTTCCATCTTGATTAGATTTTCATCGATAGCACCAATTGTAAAGCATGATGTTTTTCAAAAAATATTTGACCAGAGAAATTGGACAAAGATATCGATCAACCTTGCCTTGTACGTTCCATTAAGTTTTTTTTGTAAAAATCTATTTGGTTGGTATGATTTTCTTAGAATTATTGGACAAAAAAAGAATGATCTTTGGGAAAGCAGGTTACTCATTTCGTTGCCGTTGGTACTCATGTAGAGGTGTGATTCAATGAATAAATTTTCATCGATAATCCCAATTATAAAGCATGATGTTTTCCAAAAAATATTTGGCAAATGAAATTAGAAAAAGATCATACGAAATATAGGACAAATTTGTTCCATCTTTTGCATATTGATTTGCTAATTCATTGCCAATAATTCAAGAAAAATTAGTCTATATTTAAATAAAAGAATTTTTTCAATTTACCGCGCAATTCCTTCCTTGACATTATCATTATCATCACTATGCAAACGTTTATTAAATGTAACATTATTTTTATTAGCTTCCAAAATATCATCATATTTCGACCATGATTCCAATTCAACTTCATTAAGATTACCAGTTCGTCTTTCAAATTCTATATCAAATTCGAATAACATTTTATGATCATATTTTGTTACAATACAAAATTATGACAAGAAATGAATCTTTATCACTATTAAATGAAAAATGACATGAAACATAAATATTAAGAACACAGCAAATCTCTTACCATCTGTTGATAATAGACAACCAAAAACAAATTCAATTTTTCAAAATTGAAACATTCAAATTCAATTTTACATTAACACTCAAACTTAAAACATCAACATGTTTTTTCAATCATAAATCGAATTGTTATAATTCGAACTTATTAAGAAATGCATAATAGTCATCAGGTTAAACTTTTGAAAGTAACGCAAAAAATGCAAAACGCGCATGCCCTTAACGGAAATCTTTAGAAAATTCAAAGCGAGAAAAATTTTGAGCTACTTTTTTTCTAAAAAAATCTACTTTGGGCTATTTTTCTTCTAAAGCACCAAAATATCACATTTGTAGCCCACAAATTTCTCCATGGGGCACCACATTCGATGGGAAACTAAAAAAAAAAATGAGAAAAAAAAACCAAACGTAAACATGAAAAACTAGAAAAAAAAACAAAATGAATGAGCAACACACACACACACACACACACACACCGATGAGGATAAAATGGATAAATTTTAATGCAAACAACAACAATAGAAAACATAAAAAACAAGGCTCCAGGGTCCATAATATTTTAATATTTAGACCATCAAGATTGATGCAAGCGCTATCGACACGAAAGAAAATCGAATTTCACAACAGCCACGTATCTTCCTCCACAAAACGAGAAATAATGAACAGCCAAAGATATTGCCTATTCGACCGAGATATGATGAGATGCACACCTGCAAATACGGAACGCTGAAAAGAGGAAAATCGCAATTTAGCCTGATCATCATCATTGTTAATGTTTAACGTTTCAAATCGTTGAATTTATTTTTGCTAGATACCAGACAGCTACTTTTTAAAACAACACACACCAAAAAATTTACGCCTAAAAAAGAATTGAATTTATTATCATCAACTAAACAAATTGTTGTTAGGTTTACTGCTCTCAAAAACAAGAATTTCGTTTCAAATTCTTTTCACCATAGCCAATGGGCCAAACATCACTATTACTGTTTGGTCACGAAACTATCAGAGTTACATTACATGATAAAATGGTATGATATAGATAAATAAAATGATGAAATGTAGAAATACCAATTGAATAAATGAATGAATGATGAATGAAACTTCGAACAGCCCAAATTGAAATAAATGACATCCATAAGAATAAAATACTGTGAATGCGATCATCAGCCATATACTGTACATTTGAGTTTCTTTTAAATCATATGCAGATGAATATAATTAACGACTGACATAACACACACAACGAAGATATCCCGAATTTGAATTTTTCGAACAATCATCAACACCATGCCGATAGATCACTGTTCGATGCCCCAGATTACCAGAATTGAATTGAGTTATGAAAATACATTTATAAAATGATTTTCAAAGAAATCAAAATGACTACTGATTCCATGATGATCAACAGTCAAAAAGAATGTACCCTAGCAACATGCTTCCACCATTTTACTATGTGCTCCGGTTTCACCGCTTCACGAGGAAAACTGCTCATATTTCAACTTTTATTTGTCGAATGATGATGATGATATCGAATTACAAAATTACCCAATTCTCCTCTGTCACAAACTTTTGATGAAACGGTTTTTGTTTTCTCCGTACACCCCAATTTGGTATCAAATTTTTCATCGGTCGGTCATGATGAGAATTCTGTATTGTAAATTATCATTCTTCAATGAGTGTACCCTTTTGCCCAGTGTGTCGTTAGTTTTCAACCTGATTTTCAATTTCTAAATTTAATTGTCTCTATATGTTAAAAGTTTGCGTTTACTTAAACTTCATCATCACAATTATCGATTTATTAAACAGTTGACCTTCTGAAAACCAGTCCGAACCTAAATCATCATCATCATCATCATCATCATCAGAAAGTGTGCGGAACCTTCAAAACACAGAATATAACGAATACCAAAAGTAAAGTTGTGTGAGATCAACAGAAAATTTCGATTTTCTCTGCGCTTCATTACTTCATTCAAACATCAGCATCAAGACAGCATCATATAGCACAGATATTCAACGTGACCTTGCTATCATCATCACCGCGTTTATACACACAATAACAATAATAAATGCACCGGAATCGCTTCGTCATTGTGCTCAAAACATTCCCATAAACAGTTTTTCGTCTCAACCGATTCAACTTCGAAATCTTCGTCTTAACTTTGCCTGTCTTGTTATCACCATGTAGTAACCGGTTTTTGCATAGATTTCACAACAGACACGAAAAGTTCCTCACGACAGCCATGATGATGAACGAAGATTGGTCTTCTTGGATTTCGATAGTTAGCCGACTCCGCAAAAGCCACACACGAAATTTGTCATAACATACGACGTGATTCCAATAGGCAAAATTATCAAAATTTCAGAAAACTCTGTTTCATCAACACACCGTACCTAAAAATCCTTTTCAAATTCCTTTCGTCATCGAAATTAAAAATATCAACAACAATAACGATGACGATCAGAATTTGTTCTCGAATGTTCATTTTTTCCATTCTTCATGACGATGATGACGATGACGAGAGGTTCACCGAACTGATAATCAACCAAAATGACAACAAACGATATCAATTTAATGAAAACCGAAATTGATATTTCGAAACAAAATAAAATAGTCATCAATATCAACAATGACGACGATAATTCAGATATGACGAAGACGACAAGCATTTTTCGTTTTGTTTTCACGAATAAATTGTCACATTTTACTGTTGATCAGAACGAAAAACACACGTTAACACACGTCAGTAATCATTATCGGAGAGCCTAGGTAACGAGTAAACGATAACATGATTATCAGTATTCTAGTAAGATAAACACGAATAGCGCACTTGTTTCGTTCTTTATCATAATCTTCACGTTCGATATGAAGAATGAAGCGGCCACCATTTCATGAGAGACATCACTTTTGTTCAACACTTCATTTTAGGCCTCGAACATCGTAATTATTGCTGTTCATATGAATTGATAATTGTTCCTTGAAGCACCGACATTTTCAAAACCATTTCATATTTCTTCCTTTTCGAAAACCCAGCGGCAAAGCGGCTCTTCCATGAAACCACCAAAGATTCCGCTCCCGAACAGCCGCAACAACGCCGCATACGATCGGCTGTTTTGGTAATCATTCATAAAAGCAATGATATTTAGACGCACACAGCTGTTCAGAAACGGAACAGTTATCTTGGTCAAATGGATTTTTTTGCAGGAAACCACTTGCACCACTTTGATTTTATCAAACTTCAGAATTAAGAAAATGGAATAGTTTTAAAAATGTCAATTTGGTGTATACCTCTTTGCTGTTAGAGGACAATTTTGCCCTTGACCTCTAGATGCTGGAGCCATCAAATCCATATGACATGATTCTGAACCTTGTGGAAGCGACGTATAACCGTTCGAAGTTTCACACAAAATATTCCGGCGGCGGCTGTTCAAACGACGAGATTTGACAAAAAGTGAGACGTGCCCCTCTAGCGGAAGTGAAGAAACCCGAAAGTAGAAAAGCTTCTCTTATTGACCCCTTCCATGAGGAAGATTCAATCAAAATTTATATGGGCCATATAGACGGCCGATTCATCAATGTTACCCACGATGCTCTTTTGAATTTTTTGTTAAAGAAAATTATAGAAGGCGGAGGTTTAGGAGTCAACAATTTTTGTTTATTTATATTGCCATGAGTTGATCTAGAAACAGCGTATATACACGACAACAATTGAGTTTCAAAATAATAAGAAAAATGAAAATCTCATTTTCCTTGGTTAAGCCAGACTAAGCCTGTAATTCAAAAAAGAAAATTAAAATTTTCACCTCAATTGAAAAACGAATGATAAAGTCGCCGTCAGATAACAACAAAACCAAACTGCTTTCACGTCCATTGCTTGTATGTGCCATAGGGCTTCGAATGTAATTTGTAATGTAGCCACCTATAACAAATGATGAGTAAATATTATTGACAATTTTTGTTGCCGAATGTCACCACCGAAAATTATCACGATAATGATAAAATAGCCCACGATCATCATAGATACGATGGTGACAATAAAACAGCTCAAATATCAATAAACAATAATCGACAAAGATGAGCGATAGCTGAATGGCAATTTCCACCAGAATGTCGCAAAACTAGATGATGATAATGCATTGCACGCATTATCATCATCAACATACTCCTGATTGATTATCATGATGATACTCAATAATGGCGATGCGGTCGACAAATATCATTTAAATGATCGACTCCACGTTGCGATGAATTTCATCACTTAATCACGATGACGCTATCAACAATGGTCAACGAAAGTACGACACTCCGATTACCGGTTGATATCTAAATGTTAACAGTCAACAATAAACGCATTTGCGTAACAGATCAAATGGAACAAAGTTTCGAAATTCAATATAAAGACGACACTCAAATACGTTATCATGTATGATAATGGCATCAATATGGTTGTCGATGCCACCATATGGTCGAATTGACCGTAAGTAGATAAGGTTGCCGATGAGTCTTTTTAGTTATTTTCATTCTTACTTTTGACTTTCTCTTCCTGGTTCGGAGATTCTGTTTGTTTTTCGAATCGACAGCGTGCGTGCGTTTATTTAGCCACTCTGGGACAGAAACAAAATCACAAGAAAACTGGCTATAGCGATGTACTTCTGTTTTTCAAAGGTTCATTTTTTCTCATCTACTTGGGTTGTTTTACCGATGGACAATTTTTCGTTTTATTTTTCTCAATGTTTTTGAAATTCATTTTTGCCCCGTGTTTATTCCAGACTTTCTGTTTCCTCAAAAATTTTCGGTGGTTTTTGAAAATGATGTTAAACGGAAATTTTTCGTATTAGCACACAAATACGTTGAAAGCATTTTTACACCACCTGCCAACGCCAATAATAATGAAAAATGTACCGAAAAT